GGCAATCTTAATTCCGGCTTGGGATTCGTCCAGTCTGGCCTTCCGCATGATGTCTTCTGCATATAAGTTAAATAAGCAGAGTCATAGCCCAGCAAATTCTGAAGGTCCACGGGATGCCTACCTCTGCTCGAATAATAACTGTGTGCCGTCAAATCAATTATGACTTGTGGTGACCCTTTTCAGGGTTTTCCAGGTACTGTAGTGAATACTCAGAAGTGTTTTTACCATTCCCTTCCACTAGGGGCACTGTGGGACTGTGCAGCTTCCCCAAGGCTACCTCGGCTGGTTCTTCTCCCTGGCGGCCCACTGGGGGGAATCAATCTCTCAACACCCCTGGCTCTGCAGGCAGAGACCTAAACCACTGAGCTATCTAGCCAGCGGAATAAGAGCTGGATATCGAAAATATCTGGTTTCCAGATTCCTTTTCCTGATCTGGGATGATGCAGACGGCTCAAGGCCTCTCACGTAGGAGGGCACATAAGCCCACAAAGAAAGCACGGGAAAGTTTTGAGAACTCAAAGCTACCATAAAACATATGAAAAAAGGACACCATTTCATAATGGGGGCAAGGGTGGTTCGATGCTACGTCAAGGAGACTGCAAGGATATTGTTAAAAAAATTATGGTCTGGGAGCACGGAGTAGACGGTGTAAACAAGCCGTGAAGTTTTGTGAAGCAAATTGTGTAGCCTCCAAAGAGTCATTCAAATTGACAAACCGAGAGACCGTAATCCTTTAAATTCCCCACAAAGGGGCACTAAACACCACTATAGTAAAACCTTTTATTAAGTGCCATCAAGTTGAAATGGACTAAAAAGGCATTCAAGGTGATTGAGATATTTCAGCAGTACTGTAGTTCACTCATTCCATGTTCCCAGAGTTTTGAACCCAAGTCTCCTTAGTTGCCCTCGGCAGGGTAGAAGAAACAAGGGGAACCTCTGCTTCCTCAAAATTCAGGAGATCCTTTCAAAATCCTTTTATTTTTATTGGGTTTCATTTTTTTACCTAGAAAACTTGCACAGACCAACACTGCTCCTCTTCTACAACTCAAAATGTGTGTGTCTTTTTTTTAAAAGGGGGGGGTATTTTGAGAGATGCATTCTGGTTCTTGCCCACCCCTGCTTTTAAGCAAAGCTGAAGTTTGTGGCATCTCATAAATTAAAGTCTAAACTGATTGCTAGTCACAACACGGGTAGACTTACTGACTCAACTGCTGAATTAACACTGGCGTAATTTTCACTGGTGCAATAGGGTCTCCCCTAGTTAAGGTAAAGGCAAAGGTTCCCCTTGACATTTAGTCCAGTCATGTCCAACTCTAGGGCATGGTGCTCATCCCCATTTCCAAGCTGTAGAGCCAGCGTTTGTCCATAGACAGTTTCCGTGGTCATGTGGTCAGCGCGACTAGACACGGAACGCTGTGACCTTCCCACCGTGGTGGTACATATTTATCGACTCACATTTTTACATGCTTTCGAATGGCTAGGTTCGCAGGAGCTGGGACAAGTGACGGGTGCTAACTCCGTCCCATGGATTTGATCTTACAGCTGCTGGTCTTTCGACCTTGCAGCACAGAGGCTTCTGGGGTTTAACCCGCAGTGCCACCACGTCCCTTTCTATTGAGTTTGTGGCAAACAATTTGATTCTGGCATATACTGTTGTACATTAGATCCCACTTTTTTCAGATGCAGGGGATGATATGGACTGCATGCTGTCATGATCCTGTGAAGTCTTTCAGCTGACGTAAGATATTTGATGGTTTTTGGTGCAATATACAGTGGGGTCTTGACTTGAGAACTTAATCCGTATTGGAAGGCGGTTCTCAAGTCAAAAAGTTCTCAGGTCAAATCTGCATTTCCCATAGGAATGCATTGAAAACCATTTGATCCGTATCTGCTCTTTTCCGTCCATAGAAACTAATGGGGAGCTGCTATTCTGCCTTCGACCACTAGAGGGGGATATTTTGTTTCTTTTTTTCTTAGGTCAAGAAAGGTTCAGGGAAGGCAGGGAAAATACAGTCAAGGCAGTACCAGGCAGTACCAGGCAGTCTGAAGACTCCCAATCCACTCTCTAAACGCTGGGAGGAGTGAGGAAGCAGACAGGCACCCTTTTCACTGGCCAACAGTTAACGGAAAGTTGGGGCAAACAATTTGATTCTGGCATATATACTGTTGTACATTAGATCCCACTTTTTTCAGATGCAGGGGATGATATGGACTGCATGCTGTCATGATCCTGTGAAGTCTTTCAGCTGACGTAAGACATTTGCTGGTTTTTGATGCAATATAGACTACCCGAGGGACAGCATTGGAAATTGGGGGATTTATAGGATTCCTGAAAGCATCATGAAAGGAAAAGGATTTTTGAGCACTGGATCCACACTGAGCCACAATAGCTGGGAAATTCTGGGAATCACATTGACGGAAAAGAGCCGCACTTCCAGTCTTTATGGTATGACAGGAAATGCCGGGGCCCCGATCCGCCACCAAAATTCCAGGAGCAGTCCTGCAATTCTCCATGCTTGCCACGAGAGGGCAGGAAAGAGTCAGGAAGGAGTTTTAATTTTTCCATTGACTTCAAGCCAGTTCGAAGGATGGACAGACCGCCTTTTTATTGATCACAGTGTTCAGAAAGCGGACGTTCTGAAACTGGTGACTTCATTGTTTTCAATCAATAAGACAGAAGCTGTCTGTCCAAGTTGACTCCATCACATGAGAAGAACCACAGCGCTGAAACATGCAAACCACTACCGGCCGCATGGGGTGCTCTGACAAAATAGGCTTGTAATACATTTAATGGAAGAGCAACCCCACGCTTGAGTCGGATTCTCTCCTTTGGCAGCTTCTTTGTGTCCCGTTGTGTCACGGCATCCCCCATTCTTGTGCCTTTGGGGCAGGTGCCGGACTAGACCTTCCACCCTTCAGGCACAAGGGCTTCCGTTGCTGGGGGCAATGGGATTTATAGTCTCGTGTGTCTAAAAAGTGTGAGGGGAGAGTCTGCATAATATGGTTGGGCCTCCTTGATGACTGCTTTGAGGTTGCAAGCTACTTTTGGCCCCTCCGTTGTGGTTATTATAACTTCCTGTTAGAGACGTACGACAACGAACTCAGTTAGCTTGGGAAGCAGTGAGCGCTCGAACACTGGAGGCATTCAGATAAAATAAGGCAGCCATCAGTTTGATTTGAATTCCTGCCTTGAGCAACGGGTTGGACTCAATGGCCTTACAGAACCGGCCAACACCATTACAAGGCAGCTACAAGGCTTTTAGAAACTGACCATCTTCTGAGAAATTAGTGGGAAGATTGCTCTCCTCTTTTCTTCTGATGTTGCTTTACTTTGGTCTTAATTTGATTGTACTTTTAATATGATAACCTACTTAACACTGAAACCTTCTGTATTTTTTGTTATAGCTTCATTTTAATCCAATTGTTAACCAATTTAAGGCTTAGTGTTAGGAGAAAGGTAAGATAAAAATATTTGTTGGTTGGTTGGTTCATTACCCTGCCTTTCTCCTTAAAATGACCCATAAGCAATTTTTAATGTAGGACAGAAAGTTACAGGCCACTTTGTTTCGATTTTTTTTTTATGATTGCACTCATCTGAATTGCCCATCAGAAAAAAATTGAATTTCGCAGTCTGCTGAAGTGTTTGGCATGGTGTATATTTACGACAACATTAATAGATCTTGGGAAAATCTGTTAGGTTCCATTCAAGTCACTACAAAGTCCTGCATCTGAACTTTTTTCAACATCCTGTAGACATGCTTAGTCATGGAATATATGAAGGTGATAAACAAAACGGGTTTGTTGGCCCAAAACAAACCTTAAATTTCATACCAAAGTGTTATTTTTATAAGCCAAACAAGATGCAGCAAATATGTGCAGGCTTTCAAGAATTTTGGCTCACCAAGCATCATCAAGTAAGATGCTAAATGCAAGAGTGGGGTGGAAGGGATGGAAATGGGGTATTGGTGAAGTTGATCTTAAGTCTTTATTCTCTGAATTTTCACCCGCAAGATTTAATACAATGGGAATGCTGTAGACAAAATCATGGGCCTCATAGCTCATTGAGAGAGGCCAGATTTCCCACTGTGCCTTGTAGAGCAGCCATCCTGTGAAGCCTTGGGCCAGCTGCGTGGTCGTCTCAGAGCACCCCAGAAAAAAGGACTGGTGAACCACTTCTGAGAACACTATACCTAAAAATCCCCAGAAGATGCCACCATTCAGAATTGATTCGGCAAACCAGATGTTAGGAGCCTATTAGATTTCACCCAAGATAAAACTTTAGCCTCTCATTTTAGATGATGTGAAATCCTGCACAGCATGCTCGAATCTGCCCTTGTTTGACTGAATACAGAAACATCCAGCAGTCTTTATCTTAACCCAGAAAATAATATTTCCCAAAGTGGTCCAAAACAAATTCAATGATGGGTATTTTCTGACAGCCCTGTTGCAGATTTCAGGTGTCTTCCTTTTGCTCCTTCCCCCTAATAAAATCCAAAATTGTATCCGTAGTTCAAGCTACTCCTTATCACATGCTGTACACTGGGTTTGTGGTTGATCATCTCGTGATGATGCAATGTCAAAAACAGCATCATAAGTTTTCCCTTAAGATAATCTAGATCCTGCTGTTGCTACCACAAAGAGATCATGTGGATTGTGCTTTCTGATAACAGGAAGTTTAACAGCTGAGAAACAAACTGAACAAGGATGTTCAAGATGCGATTTGCCTTTCTGTGCCTCACACCGACAGCTCTAGAGAGGTCTGACCCTGCTAGCATGCTATTTCTCCCTCCAGCTTCCTGGCTGTTTGCTCACTCATCCCCTCTTCCTATTTTCTGCCAAAACCACACACACTCAGAAGGAACCTACCACAAACAGCTCGATGGTTGCCCTGGTTGGTTCAGGATCATGATCTGTAGCCCATTTAAGTTACAGGTGGTTTTTTTTTGTCATAGTGGGGTGTTTCTTAAGGTGGTCCCCAACCGGTGTTGATGGTTGGTTCAGTTGTTCTGTCCCTGATGTCAGAGAACAATAAATGAAGGTGCATGGGTGGGTGGGAAACTTTCTAGCACAGACAACAATGCAGCAAGCACAATTTATTCATTTAAATATTATTATGCATGTTTACAATATACAGTATGAGTAGGCAATAGTCACATTTCTAATATGCAACCATTTCCTAGTTTTATTACACATTCCTATACTTGGTGTTCTTCGAACGGCTAGGTTGGCAGGAGCTGGGAAAAGCAACGGGGAGCTCACTTCGTCGCGTGGAGTCCGCCCCCAAGAGACCTACCACCTCGGATATCAGCAGCGATGTGTCCATAATATAGCTTGTCATCACTGACATCTACAGAACTGCGCTTCAGCAGAATTGAATACTGAGTGGGGGTCTTAAATCATGACGAGATGTGAAATGCAATCAAACATGGCTGTCCCTTTATCTTAAAGCCTTGTATAATACTGTAATGCCTCACCATGTCGTTTCAGCATTCCGGTTCTTAGGTCTGAAGAAGTGAGCATGCTCCAGGAAAGCTTACATTAAAATATAACAGTGAATCTTTAAGGTGCTGCAAATGTGTTTTTTTCTTGCCTTCGTTTTGTTTGGTGCTTCTTGTTGAGATGTTGCTGTTCTGAACTGTCAGGTTGCATCTGACATATGGCATGAATTAATTATTTCCAGAAGGTCCCGCTGAGATATTACACATTCAAGCCGTTCCTTCCTCTGTTTTCTCAATCCATCTCATGTTCAGTCTTCCTCTTTTCCTACTAGCTTCATTTTTTCTAAGCATTTCCTTATACGTCTAAAGTGTATCAGCCTCAGTCACTTTTGCTTCTAGAGAGAGTCCATGCTTGATTTGATATCACGCCTACCTGCTTGCTTTTCCATCCATCGCCAGCATCAGTAAAGCTCTTCCCTTCCTTCCTTAGTCACTTTTGTTTCTAGAGTCCATGCTTGATTTGACATCATGCCTACCTGCTTGCTTTTCCATCCATCGACAGCATCAGTAAAGCTCTTCCCTTCCTTCCAAATAGTTTCCCCCTATCCCTCTGAAATACTGAATTCATTTGAATTGATTAGCATTATTATCCAAGAACTCATTTACTGTTCAGATTCAAACCTTTCCCAAATTCAATGGTTTAGGCCTCTGGCTGTGGAGCCAGAGGTTGGGAGTTTGATTCCCCCACGGGGCCTCCTTGACAGGGGCTGGACTGGATGACCCATAGGGTCCCTTCCAGTTCTGCAATTTTAAAAGGATGATTAAACTGAGATGTGCAGAGCAAGCCCAAGTAAAACTACTCAGAGATAAGGCCAGCTCTGCAGTTTTAAAAGGATGATTAAACTGGGATGTGCAGAACAAGCCCAAGTAAAACTACTCAGAGATAAGCCCCTCTGATTCCGACTCCCATGAACCAAGGCTTATGTTTACAGGTCTTCAGAAACAGGATTCTGGGTGTTGTAGTCCCACAACTGCTGGATAGCTCAGTGGCTTAGGTCTCTGGCTGCGGAACCAGAAGTTGGAAGTTCAAATCTAGCCCGTCAAGAAGACCCTAGTGGGGAACTGACGATCCAAAGGGTCCCTTCTAGGTCCCTTCTAACTCTGTAGTTCTAAGATGATGATGATTATGATGATAAGGTAGCTCCTCCAAGGCTTTATCACACTGACAACTGGTAGCGTGCAAGATCTTTTTTTCCCTACGATGGGGCGCAATGGGACTACAACCCCCACCATCCCCTGGCTTCACGGGCAAAACCGGGATGCTTGAACCTGTCGTCCGAACTCGTCTGACAGTATGTTACAATCCCCTTCCGATTTCCATTCGGACTCACAATTTATTCACTGGTTTAAAGGAAAGGGGGGAAAAAGATCCTACTGAGATTAATAGGTCTTACTCCCAGGAAAGGGTGCTCAGGACTGCAACCCTAAGCAAAACTAATTCACTAAATAAATATTTGAACATGACATCCGCTTGTGTTTTTTTTTTCCTTTGCTTGCTTACTAGCCAAAAAAAAAATTAATTGGAATTACTATCTTGCAAAAGGGGGTTAAAATAAAAATGGAAAAATCCGCGTCACGCATCCTTTCCACCCGGGTTGTGATGTATATCTATAAGGAGGAGGAGGAGGAGGCCCGATAATCCCGCGCCCCCGCTCCGCCCCTCCCTTTTCCGCGCAGCGCCCAAATTGCGCCAAGAGGAAAAGGCGCGGATGGAAAGGGGGGGGGAAAGGGGGGAAAGGAGGAAGCCGCGGCGGCAGGGAAGAGGGGCGGAGCGTCGCGGTGCGCCGCAGCCAACCAGAGGCGCCCTCTCGGCGGACCAATCGCGGGGCGGCTTGCAGGCGGCGGCGTGTGGGGCTGAGCGGGGAAGCGGCGTCCCCACCGCTGAGGGAAAAGGAAAAGGCGGGCCCGCGCGAGCTCCGGAGAAGAGGCTGAGGCGAAGCCGAGCCCTCGCGTGAGGCGGGGAGGAAAAGGCGGGACGGGACGGACTGACGGGCGGACTCACTCACTCACTCACGGGAAGCCTAGCCCTCCCCCCCCTCACAGCCG